GTCGAATGATATCCAACTAGGATCATTTGACTTGACTTGTCATCAAGTTTTCTTCTCAACTGATCTGGCACATGTCTATGTGCAATAGATCCAAATACCTTCAAATGACTTAAGCTAGGCTTCACACCAGACCAACATTCTTCTGGAGTAATTCCTTCTAGCTTCTTTGTAGGACATCTGTTCAAAATGTATGTTGCAGTCGAAACAGCTTCACCCCAAAACTCTTTAGGTAAACTCTTGCCTTTCAACATACTTCTCACCATATTCATGATGGTTCGATTTTTCCTTTTTGCAATTCCATTTTGTTGTGGAGTATAGGGTGGCACCACCTCATGCACAATCCCTTCCTTTTCAGATAATCTGTCGAAGTCTTTCGACACATATTCTCCACCACCACCAGTTCTCAAAACTTTGAGCTTTCGACCACTTTGTCTTTCGACCATAGACTTAAACCTGGTAAATACTTCGATCACTTCACTTTTCTTCTTGATCAGGTAAGTCCATAGCTTTCGACTGAAATCATCTATGAATGTAACAAAGTATTTGTTACCTCCCATCGAATCCACCTGGATTAGTCCACATACATCAAAGTATATGACTTCAAGACTAACCTTCGATCTGCTTCCTGCATCCTTGCTGAAGCTATTCTTGTGTTGCTTCGCCTGCACACATTCCTCACATACCTCGTTTGGAATGTCAATTTCTGGCAATCCTGAAACCATATTTCTTCTCTTAAAATCTCTGATGTCTCTGAAGTTGAGATGACCTAGTCTATAATGCCATATCCATTCATCTCTGCTAGCTGCAGTCGAAAGGCACTTGTGCTCCATCACATTCAGTTCAATCTTGAAGGTTCAATTCTGAGACATAGGAGCCTTCAAGATTACTCTCCCATTTGCATCAACGACTCTCATCAACTTATCTTCGATTGACACTTTATAATTCTTTTCGACCAACTGCCCTATACTGAGCAAATTGCTCTTCATGTCTGGTATGTACAACACATTGGAGATTACTGACCTTTTGCCATCTTTCCTCATAATCATAACATCACCAATACCTTCAGCTGCCAGGGTATTGTCATTTGCAAATTTTACCATATTTTTCTTTGAGGGTTTTATATTGACAAACCAGTCTTTCCTTCCAGACATATGTGATGAACATCCTGAATCCAAGTACCATTGGTCCTTGAATCTATCTTCATCTCTTGTTGTGACCATCAGCATCATCTCTTCTTCTTCATGTTTTGTAAGCTTTGCATCACTTTCTTGATTATTTCGTTTTTCTGGACAATCACTCGAATAATGTCCATATTTCTGACAATTATAACATTGAATGTGACTCTTATCAGGTTTTCGACCACCACCTCTTCCTCTATTTGCAACACCACCTCTTTGGTTGCCTTGGTATGGTCGTCTTTGATTCGACACGTCTCCTTCGATTTGGTTTCTTCTACCATTCGATTTGTTGTAGCCACCTCTACCTCTGTCGAAATACTTTGCCTCTGCCTTTGGTCTCTTTTGCTGAATGTGCCTGCAAGGCCACATCACTCTTCGATTTTCCTGCAGCTCTTTCGTTCATTCTTTGTTCATGAGATTCAAGCATCCCTTGAAGCTCTTCTTTTGTAAATTTCGACAAGTCTTTCCCCTCTTCTATCGCCACCACTATGTGGTCGAACTTAGGAGCTAAATATCTCAAGATCTTTGACACAACAGCTCTTGTTGTTAACGCTTCTCCACATATCTTGATTTGATTTATTAGTTTTGTAACTCTAGTGAAGAAATCAGATATGTTTTCACTGTCTTCCATCTGAAGCAGTTTATAGGTCTTTTTGTGAGTTTGTAACCTCACTTCTTTCACCTTCTCAGCGCCTCCAAAAGACTTCTCAAGGATCTCCCAAGCTTCTTTTGCAGATTCTGAATCACTAACCTTTTCGAAATTGTCTGGGCTGACACATTGATGAATTATAAATAATGCTTTATAACTCAGCTTCTCAGATTCTGTGTATTTCTTCTTTTCTTCTTCTGAAGCGTTTTCGCCAAGCGCTTCGATTCCATCTTTTACAAGGTCCCAAAGACCTTGACACCTGAATAAGACTTTCATTTGTTTGCACCAATTCTCATAGTTGTCAACTTTCAGATTTGGTAGCGTTGCTGGATAGTTTGCATTCCCATAACTTGTCATCGTGAATTCTTCAATCATTCTTGATTGACACTTCCCTTGAATCAAAACAAAAGCTCTTGATACCAGATATTGGAAATCCACCAAATTCTCTGATAAATTTCTACCACAATGACAATTTAATTATGAGACAAACAAAGAAAAAAAGACAAGACAAATATTTCTGCAGAGTTTCTCACTGCCCACAAACTGTGGAAAACTTTCTTAATCACTTGCAACTGCAAATTCTGTGATTACAATGAATTGACTTCACTTGACTTGCTTTGAAAAATAGGGGTTACTCCCTCTATTTATAACTGAGCTTACACCCTAAGCCCAAAGCCCAAAATATCTTTTTGTTACTAAATCAAATCAAATCAAATCAATTCAAATCTATTTAAATCTAAAATAAATCAAATCTTCTTTGACACTATGAATTACAATTTAACAAAACTCAATCCATAAATTAAAGTTAATTTAAAAAAATTGAGGATTAAACTATGAACTTAATTCAAAATGAATAAATTGTATAATAGATTAGATAAGTCCAGTCTAACTCGTGTTTAATTGTCATAGATTTCACATGGTAATCATATTATTCTTCTTCCGTCTCACAATAAATGACTTATTTAAAATAAAATAATATTTTAAAAATAAATAATTCATTTTAATTTTTAATATATTTTTTTTCAATTTTACCATTTAATTAATTACACTTTTATTATTTCTAATATATGATTAGAGTATTATAATAAAAATATTATTTTATATTTTATTTTAATATACTTTTTCTTAATAGGTATGAAATAGTGTGTTGGGTTGTTTATTACTATATACAAAGAGAATAGTTGATAAGGATTTCCCTTGTCCATGCACTAACCCCAAAATGTCGCGTAATTGTAAAGACTTTCTGTTTGTTTTGTTTACCACACTTTCAATTGACATGACTTCACCTTATCCTAGCACAACATTCATCTCATAATAAATCCACCAAAAAGTAGCAAACTTTTTGTCTCAGATCTATCAAGGGGTCTAGCTAAAAATGAAGATGTCATGACACAAATATTGGCCTCATTGGTGGGGTTTGACTCAATTATTGAGGCCACCAGGCTTTAACTAGGGACACATTCCTTTGTTGAAACATAGTGTGGTTGCCTCATGGTGCCAGGATAATGTTCCTTAAATTCGATCCCCAACGTTGTTGGTTTCGTTTACTCCACATATCAATAATATAAAATATTCGTTTTTAACCACTTTGAGAAAAGAAAATATCTGAGTGACTATTTCTGAGAAGCAGGTTAGTATATGACAAACACATGTAGTTCATTTGCATGAGTACAGCTGACACAACACACTTTTTCATAAACCAATACCAATTTAGTTGATTGTAATGAGAAATAGTGTTTTGCACTTTTCAAAATTATTATTGGTTTGTGTACAACATTGACAATAAAGACTGGTCCACCTGGAAGGAACCAGAAACTAGTAGTGAAGTCGGAGCAGCGGAGCAAGCTTGAGATACAGTGGAGAGGGGTGAACTTGCAAGGTTAGCAATCTAACCGCTAAATCAGTGACTAAATGAAAAGCACTATGAAAGTGAGAGTGAATTGAATATCTGAAATGACACGATTTGGTCTATATATGACATGGACGGTTAGAACCGTCCGTATGTGATCCAGCTCAATTCACTACAGCAAGAGGGCATAATTACAAAAATAAATGGTTAAAAATATTCTTAAAGCTTGAAACATGGTACAATCAATAAGAGAACTGCTCAAGGACTAAGAAAGATGCAAGAGGTCCACTCATAAGTGTCTTTAACATCACTTCTATGACCTCATTCCCAACTGTAGACTGGAATAGGTAAATGCACATGGCAAGTGTCCGAAATAGTTTTAGCTAATTATTACCACAGGAATCACAAACAACGTTAGTAACAACAAAATGAAGTCTTACTTTTAATATCTTGCTGTTGAAGGTTTGGCCACCTAACACCTCTCAAAAATATGAAACTTTTTATCCAAGAAATATCAGTGTATAGACACAGTAGCACGCGCACACATCAGAAGGGAGCTGAAATCACGTCAGAACTAACTCCCGAACTGGATTAGTTGGTCCCGTGGGCCGGATACGGACAGTGAAAAAGAAGAAAAAAAAATTTCAATATACGCCATAATGTTCTATCTAGAACCATGCTTGGGACGGGCTATGCCATATACACTCACAAATAAATAAAAACTCAAGAAATACGCACACATGGGAGTGAACAGCAAGAATAATCAGTGTTTGCAAAGCATAATTATCCCTGTTCACAAGTAAGGTCAATGCAGTGAAAGTTGTAACATGAAATATTGAATAGATGTAGAGTTCTCTCCTAAGCAGAGAAAGTGTTTTAGCAATCGAAATTTACAACATTTTATTTTCAAAGTCGGCAGTGCTTTAGCATCTGAATGCAGCATGGCCTGCCTTGGATCATAGGTTATCAATCTACAAATGTGTAGAACCAACTCCATTAAAGTTTATACAAAGACAAAAATATAGACAAATAGAAACTAGTTGGTACTCATAACAAACTCAATTTACCCACTTGATTAGATTTTGAATAGAATGGCCAACCACATTGTTGTATCTATCTAATTGTTTTTCTTCATACAAGCATCTACCTTAGATCTTTGCAATTACCAACTTCCAACTCATTGAATCACAAAGAAAAGGTCTTTGTGCCTTTTCCTTTTGTCCATCATAACCACCCAATCCTAGAGACCTTTTTCTATTCTCATTTATAACTACCAACCTAATCTGCCAGATAAAGAAACTTGGTTAACAAGAAAAGAGCCAAAATGAAGGTATGTCTAAACTCTCCAAATTTAGAAAGAAAAATTTCTTCCAAACCTTTGGCTTAATCCATGCCTTTACTTCTTGCAGTTGTTTCAATGGATTCATCGAAAACTTCAGCAGAATAATATCGATCCCTCCAAGGATTTCACTCTTGGTATTCAGCTCTTATTATTATTCTTATTTCTTTTACTCCAATATGTATCAATAATACCATTATTTGTGAGCAATAATTTAACTAAAAAGTCACTGTATATGTTACACATCTCTATATAAATTAAAGTTAAGTTGTTATTAGACTTTTCAAATTGATCAGAATTTAAGACAACTATTGTTCCGGAATCATCTGTATATCACTGTCAAAAGGCCCTAATTCACATTTCACTATCTGATTATAATCCTTCTTTTGGAAATCCAATTTCAGGAAAACCTTGTCTTACAGTGCAGCTATCGCTCGAGAGCCAATACTCTCAGTCAAAGCCAAGCTTTAGTTCCATTAACCAGTACCAGAGTTTCTTAACGTCGCGCCATCAGGAAAGTCAAGCATCTTGGTGCAGAGAAGAAGGAACATCTGCAGCCATCTCCGAGCTCTTAGAAGGCTTTCTGACAATTGGAACACTCGGTGCAGATGCAGTTACCAATGAGCCAGCAACACCAACATTTGCCACGTCTTTAGAAAACTTACCAAAGAAAGATGCAGACTTGACAGAAACTGATCTGAAGCTCATTAGTTATGAGCTTGAGAAATTCCTGGAGGCTGAAGAAGAATCATCTGGAAGTCATAGCCGTCTTAGCAACATCACACTTAACGAGAAGCAAAAAGATGGATCCGAAGCTGAAGATTGCGGAAACAAGGCATTATTTCCACTGCAAGGATATTTATTGGGGTCATCGTTCGAAATACCAGAGAAAGTAGAAGTGAAGAAAGAGAGGGCATCACTTGCTGAGCTATTTCAAAGGACAAAGACAACAGATGAAGACTGTATAGAGACAAGAGCAAAAGAGACACAAGCCAAGCATGCACATAAGTCTGCCATGCATAGTATGAAAAAGATGTTGAAAATGGTTCACAGCTCTTCAAAAAGCTGTAAAACCACAGGGAATATCGCTGATTCTACTACAACCAATACCAAGTTCAGTAAGGTGAGTCCCTAGCACAATTTCTCAGTATTTTATCTTGAACACTCGTGAAACAGTCATAACATGTTATTTGGTTTATTCATCTGAGTATACAGGTTCTACGTAAGTTTAACCGAAAAGTCTATCCCAAAGATACCATGAATGCAAAAAGTGTTGCTAAATCTTACAAAGGAAAGATTAAAAATCTTTCCTGTGATATTGGAGACACCACAAACACAGGAAAACACTGTGAGACCAACTGGAACCATATCCTAAATTGCGGTGGTTCGACTGGAAAAAATGAGCACTGGATCAAAACAGATACAGAATGTAAGTACTAAATATTTGTAGAATCTATTATTCTCGCATGCAAAAAATTGATAAATATATTTATGCATTTTGCCTAATTTATAACTGTTGGTAATGTAGATTTGGTGCTGGAGCTGTAGCAACTTATGCTGTAAGAAAGTGTTAATAAATTGAGCCTCTATACTGGACTTCTCAAGATTAGATTAGTATTTCATAGTGTGATGGTGTTGTGCATGTATTTTGAGTGGGAACTGATAATACATTCAATAAACTTGTGAGTTTCATGAAAGCTTCCAAATAAGTAGACAGTAACTCATTTGGAAGCTAGTTTCATTTCATGTGAGCTCTTAAGCTAGTCCAACTGAACGTGTTATGCATGAACTTTTGGTTACTTGTACTAGTTGCATATGAATTCTTAAAAATCATTCTTGCATCTCATGCGAGGTAAATATATGCATTCTGTAGTAAAACTTGAGAGCTTAATGTTTCAATATTGTGAATTTTACATGTGTGGTAGAAAACTACAAAACAGATGAACATGAAGTGAACTCAGAACAAATTGTCAGATAAATCAATTTAACACAACTTAAGATCCATCATCTCTTGGGAGAAAATCCGCAAACGCAACCGAACAAACCAACAATAAAATCTCTTCTAAATGTCAAATATAACGACAATCAACAAAATACATAAAACAACACAATACAATTTTAACATGGAAAACTTCCGTTAACTAGGAGTAAAAAACTACGGGACCCGTAAGCCACTTAAAATCTCCATTATAATTAATAATGGGTACAAGCAAGATTCTCTCTAACACTAGTTAGAGGCATACATAAACATCATCAAGATTTTGAATCAATCTTAGAATACAACAAGAATCAAGAGAGACAAAACAACCCAAAATTACCAAGAAATTCAGATCTCAAAGATGGACTAGACAGATCGACTTAGAAAATTCTGAATCCAATGAAAATCGTTCAGAATGTGCTGCTATGAGTCATGAACGTTGTGTCAAAATTTCAAGACGATCCGACCATTGGATTTTGTGAAACTCCGATTTTCTGGGACTGATTTGTGCAGAATTGGAGCTGCGGGAATATGGTTTTCTCTCTAACTTTTCTTGTTGTTTTTCTCACACAATAAATGAATAACTTAATTCTCTTTATTGGATAATAACAAAGCCATAGACACACATGAACAACTAACCCACATTTATTTGGACCTCTCTAAATAAGAGGGGTAGCCCAACAACATCTTTATTCATTGTTCAATAATCTTGAAAAGACCGAGAAAGTGGTAAAAGAAGAAGCTCTCAAAAGTCAGGTAAATTTCAACAACACTTCCGATTCAAGTCGTACTGTAGAAGAAAGAGGTCAAAATAATTACAAGGGTTAAATATGTTTTTGATCCCTATAAATATCACAATTTTTCTTTTAGTCCCTATAAAAAAAATTGAATTTTAGTCTCTATAAAATTAATTTTGCACACAGTTTTAATGCCTGTAGAAGGACTAAAACTGCGTGCAAAAGTAATTTTATAGGGACTAAAAGTCATTTTTGGTAATTTTATAGGGACTAAAAACATATTTAACCCTAATTACAATAATAGAGGAAGAGTAAATTATAAAGACAGAGCCCGAGGAAAATATGGAGAAAGAGGACTTGGTAACCTTAACTAATAGAGAGACAACAACTTCAACGGTTTCAATCCAGCACATCAAGGAAGAAGTGGTCATAATTTTGGATCTACATATCGTGGCAGAGGAAGAGGTAACTACAATCAAGAAATGACGAATTATAGTTGTTATCATTGTGAAAAATTTGGATACAAAGCAACTGATTGAAGATATAAACATCAAGCAAATGTGACAGAAAATTCGTATAAAAATACTGGTGAGTACTTTGAAAATCCACAAAATTTATTTTTGACAAGTAATACATTTTCAGAAGAGGAAAATATTTGGTATCTGGATATTGGGTGTAGTAATTATGCCATTTTGGCTTTTTAGTTTAAAATTCTCTCAAAAGATTAGACTTTTGTCAATCCTTGTAGTGATGCGAGCTACTATTCTTCTATGATATGTAGTGAAGTGATATATTTTTCACTTGGGTGTTGAGTGAGGCTTTGTTGATTTTAAAATCTAAGCTTTATCCTCCACTTTGAGATGATGCAAATTCTCCTTTCTCATAATCGTGAGTAGTAAGTATGATCTTCCACTCGGATAAGACAATGATGTCTCGTTTCTTAAAATTAACCAACACACTTGTGTTTTTAAATTTTTTAAAGGTGAACTACGAGTGCCCTGATCCCCTATTGCACGGAAGGTGGTACGTGGGCACTAAAGGTTCGCAACTGCGGCGGGTGCAAAATTATAAAAAAAATACTTTTTTTCTCATCTCCACAATCTATTTTTGTATACAATAGTTATAGCCAAAATACACAAATTTACAAAGAGGTTCTTGTGGAGTACCGTAGATGTTTAGGGTGCTAATACCTTCCCTTAGCATAATCAATCCCCGAACTTAGATTCTCTCCTCCTCTTTTTTTTTTGGGTTATTCGCTCTTTTCCCATTTCTTTGGAAACAATAATGTATGGTGGCGACTTTTATTTTGATCTGTGCGGGTTAAGTCAATTCAATGGCTTAGTCTCAACATTTCTCCGCTACACAACTACATAAGAAATATGCGAGAAAGTAAAGTGCAGAATTTAAACCTAAACTATTACATCCCGTTAGCAGTTACATAATAAGAAAAAGATGCGGAAAGATAAATCTAAACTATTACAAGATATATACGACCTATACATTCGTCTAAAAAATTTAAAGGCAAAAAGAAATAAGGAAAACGTTAAGAAAAAGTGTTCGAATGTTTGTTTATATTTTTTTATTAAATAATTTGAAGTTAATTAAATAGTTAAAACATTAAATCTAATTAATTTTAATTAATAAAAATACCTAAAGTCTAATTAGTTTTAATTTTAAGAAAATATTAATTAACCTAGTAAATTAGTAAATAATAATATGTCAGAATTACTTATTGATTAAAAAACCAAAAACCTAATTTATTAGGGTTTTAAAAAAAAATTAAATTAATTAATTATTGATTAAGAAAAAGGATAAAATTAGGGTTAGAAATCAAAGAATTAGGTTAAAAAAAGGAAAAAAAGGGTAAAATTGCATGAGTTGGGTGTTGAACCTACACCCTCTAACCTTCTCACTGCCTTGCTTGCCACTGAGCCAAACGCTCGTTGGTGTCTGAGAATAGAACGTGAATAATATATTGAAGACCTGCGTGTTAGATGAAAAATAACAAAAATCATTGCAGCGCGGATGGATCGAACCCACGTCCTCTACATCATACGCCTTCGTCTTGACCAGCGGTGCTATGCCCCCATTCGTTCATATAACTGAAACAATTAAATATAATATAAAAAAATATATGGACTGGAGAGGCGTCGGAGCCCTAACTCCGGTCGTCTTCTCCGATGAGCCCTTGTTTTGTACCTACGAAAATAGAGCACATTAGTGATCAAATAGAACCTTCCCCCCTAAATTGAGGGTTGCGATTTCTATGGTGGCCTTAGTTTTGGCTAAAACGTCCTGCATAATGAGATACAGGGAAAATAATTCAAATCAATGTAAACATGGTGATGAGGTATTCCGGCGTTATGGGACTCATGCAAGGGATCAAACCTGCATTGTTTTATCTCAGGAACATGTTAGCATGGTTAGTATGAATAAAAACGACATAAAAAGAAAATACGAAATTCATAAAAATAAGGAAATCGGTGATGCATGTAGTGCAGGTTTCAAGCCTCTTTGGTCATCAAGAATGATCAAGACTTACTCTGCAATGTCTCAGAGATTGATATGAGTGGGTGGTTTGCTTTGAGAAGGGTTGGAACAATGATTTCGAGTTTACCCTAGTTTGGGAAAATTTTGAGGTTTTGAGAGTGTTCTTTGAGGAAAGTTTTTCATTGTCCCTCTTGCCTGAATGTGAAGAGTATTTATAAGAGAAAAGATTAGGTCAATACATGGGCTTGGACTTCTTGTAAAATAACCTTTTGATTTTGTTTGGAAATATGTTGGAATAAGACAAAAGCATGCAGATTTGATACTAAAATAGGTTCACATAGTTGACAATGTGATCTTGGGCCTCCACAAGATTTTAATCAAAAGCCTTTTATGCCTTATACCTCCACTAGATATTTATTTGATTTAATTTTCATTTAAATGAACAAAAATTCAAATAAAAGAAATAAACATCATAAAAATATGTGAAGGGGTTTGTGGGGGTCCCCTAATATGTCATAAACACATTTTAACTTCAAAAATTAGACTCATTAGTCAAAAAGTCCAAAATTGTTCAATTGATGTTTCATGCAATTTCATAAAATTACCCAACTTGTGCAACCCATAACTTTATCAATTTTTGTCATATGAAGGTGATCTGGGACTTTTTCAAAAGATGAAGATGTCCTATACAACTTTCATGTTGGTCATTTTTCCATTTGAAGATTTTAACTTGATGTAAATTACTTTGACAAAAAGTGGATTTTTGTTAACTTTTAAAATGACCTGTAATGTTTTGATCCATATCTCTCAAATGAAGCATTTTTGGCCTTGATCTTAGAGTGATAAAGTTGTAGAGAATTGAATTTTCATCAAAATGGGCCTTGGTTGAAAATTTTATGATGAAGCATGTGAAAGTTATGCTTGGTCAAAGTTCAGTTGACTTCTCTTAAAGAAAACCCTAATTTATCAACTTTTGATTTTTGATGAATCTTGAGTTTTCTTGATGAGTCATGATAAAACCCTGATCAAATGATGAATGTGAGTTCAAAATATTGATGTTGACCAAAAATCTTGAAGTTTGACTGTATGTTGACCACAATTGACTTTTTGTCCAACATAGTTGATTTTCAATCATCTGAGCAATTGACTGAGCAAATTTGTGATGTAAGGTATGAAACTTGATATGGGAATTCTTTGAAGCATATGAGGAACTATGAAAATCACTTGAGGAATTAGAAGTCCCATTTTCCTTGAGAATACCAAAACCCTAGTTGTAGGCCATTGCTTAGGAGGAGGATTCATCTGATCAATTCTTGAGTAGTTTTGAGCATTTGAAAAACCTTAGGAGCATGAGAAGATATCTTGAAAT